TAGTGAAGTTTAGCAAAGTTGGGTCCCTAAGAACACCAGATGCTGCTGGCATAAGGACTCTACTTTTAACAGGCATCTCATGGCTTTGTCAGCTATTCTTGGTCAAATTGACTAAATATCAATTATCACAGGCAATATTTTGAAGTGTATTAACAGGCAACAAAGAGTGGTAATAAATGGAGTACATTCTGAACGGAAAAAGGTTCTCAGTGGAGTACCACAAGGATCTATCCTTGGACCCACCCTGTTTGTGATCTACTGTACATATACAACCTCACCCTTGTCGCTCACACTGAATGCGACCTACAGGAGATCCTGAACACCTACGCAGATACGTATGCACACTTCGGTCTTGAGGCATGTAAGACTCAGATTCTCTTTCAGCCTGCCCCTGGTTCAGCCACACCTCCACCATTCCTCCAGCTTAACGGTACTACCCTCTCTAATGTTACCCACTTTCGGTATCTCGGCTCCCACTTGTCCACCACCGTGGACATTGATGAAGAGATTCAGCATTGCATCCGAAACAGTGTCTTCAGCTGTAGGGAGCTGAAATTATCTACAAAGCTACACGTATATTGAGCAGTGGTCCTCCCCACCTTGCTATATGGCAGTGAGACATGGGTCACACACAGGAGACACCTCAAGGCACTTGAAAACTTTCACCAACGCAGTCTACGTTCCATCCTCAAAGTTCACTAGGAAGACAAGAGAACAAATGCCAGTATTCTTGCTGATACCAACTGTAGAAGCATCGAGGCTACCATTATCCATGAACAACTACGCTGGACTGGCCATGTTACCCGAATGGACGACAGTAGGCTGCCAAAGCAGCTACTTTACAGTCACCTAACAAATAGTAAACGTAATGCTGGCGGGCAACTGAAGAGGTATAAGGATAGTCTTAAGACAAATCTGAAAAAGTGTCAAATGGACCCCCTCACCTGGGAGACGATTACTCCACATCGTAACGCTTGGAGGAGCACCACACGAGAAGGTGTCAATACTTTCGAGTTTGCCCGACTGCATAACAAGGCAGACAAGCGCCAACACTGGAAAGACGCTGCCATCGCCCTTCCCGCAATAGTTGTAGCCCTCCACATATGCAACTTCAGTGAAAGACCCTGCCAGTCCCATATAGGCCTCTTTAGTCACCTCAAAACTCACCAACCTAGGTGATACCCTTAATAACTTGTATCATTATATCATAGCTGGATGATCGTCATATTCGTTTACGAGTGGCAGCAAAGTAGTAGTAGTATGTATATACTGTACAGTTATATATATAGTGGTCCCTCGACTAACGAGCAGTTAATTTACTAGATTTCAGTTGACTTAGCTCCCATGAGGATTTTCAGTTCGACTACGAGTACAACTTCTATTAATGACAGCCTTACGAGAAACACGCTTTGGTGCATGCATCAGCTAATCAGCTGATCGACTAGTCTGCCAATACAGTAATCTGTTCAATGTTTACATTTGTTACCAGTGGAGTAAATATCGAGAAAGTTGTGCACTTGACTATTTTTTCATTTTTTATATTAAAATTATTGGTCATTCTGAAATTTAGTTAACATGTTGATAATATATGCAGTACAGGGTACAGTTTTTGTGCGCCCCTCAGCTGATCAGCTGATCGACTCGCCTGCCAACGCTTCTCTGTTTAACTTTGTTTACAGTAAAGGAAACATCGAGTTTGTTGGTCTCTTGAATATTTTTGCATTTTTACAGTAAAATTATTGGTCATTTTGAAATTCAGTTAACATTTTGATAATATAGTACAGTGCAGTGTTGATTTAAATAAAATAATCTGTAATTACAGGTGGTGAACTTAAAATTTTATTGGTGAAATTACTGTTTTAAGTATGGGTCCAAAGAAATCTAGGAAGGTGATTTCAATTGAAGTGACAAGAAATTTTTAAGAAATACGAAAAAGGCATTAGAACCAATGTACTGTGTGAAGATTATGGCATGTTGTCATTGACTGTCTACAATTATTGCACAGAAAGACAAACTTAAAGCAGTGAAAGTGAGAGATAATTCTACCAGAGTGTTTAAAGGCAGATCGCTAGTTGCAGAAACATAGAGGTTACTTCCTTTTTGGATTAAAGAAAAACAAATGAAAGGCGATTCCATTTCTACTGAATTCATTTGTGAAAGAGCCAGGAAATTTATGAACATTTGAAGGAAGATTAACCTAGTTTAAGGCCAGCAAGGGCTGGTTTGATAAGTTTAAGAAAAGACGTGCCATTTATAATGTTGTTAGGCATGGTGAAACTGCAAGTGTGGATAAAGAAGGAGCTGAAAAATTTGTAGCAGAATTCAAGAAACTAATGGATGAAGAGAATTATCTTCCACAGCAAGTTTTCAATATACAGGTAGTCCTCGACTTACGACCTACTTGACATACAACCATCCGGACATACGACCGCCTCAGTCATACCAAAAAATATTCAAATTAGGTACGTATTTTCCAGTACCGAAACGTTTCCGTCCCGTACGAGAGCGTGGCGTGGGTGGGACTGCCTCATGGTGTACAGCATCCATGACGTAGCCCGCTCAGTTGGTGTTTGGCAGTCATTGGTGCTAGTGATCACGCTGTGTACTGACAAAATTTTCGTTTCTAATTCCCTTTAAAATGACTGGCAAGCGTAAAAGTGAGCGTTCTGGTGGTGCTCAGAAGAAAAAGAAACAGTCAATTACTTTTGAGATGAAAATGAAAATAATAATGCAATATGAAAATGGAAAAACGGTCGCAATAATTTCACGCGACCCTGGCTTCTCTCACTCGACGATATCAACAATTTTGAAGGACAAGGCAGAGGCATTTGCTACTATTAATAAGGGGATGCAAATGTTTGAAGAAATGCATCAAAATGTTGAGTGTTTTGCAAAAGTTGACAGACAGATCCAAGATACACTTGCTTGCTACAGGGAGATTTACAATGAAAAGAAAAGGCAAACTGTGCAGTCTAAATTGGACATATATTTTAAAAAGTCCCCCACTGCTGTCTCCTTATGCCCCACCACTGCTGCCTCTTCACTCCCTAAAGATGATCCAATACCTTCAACAAGCAAGTATGTTAGCCTGTCTGAAGAAAGCGAAATTGAGACCCACCCAGCCCTGTCTCCTCCTCTGCTTCATCCAATTAATGTAGTCTCCATGTTTAATTAAAAAATTATTGAGGCCCCGTGTGCATCCAGCTGACTACATTAAAGGTAAGTGCACAGTAAAAATTTATTAATTTTTCATTATTGATTACTTTTACTGTACCGTATTTCATTTTAGATTTTCTATGTATTATTTTCGCATTTTCGACTTATGACCTGGTCGTCGGTCCGGAACCCTGTCACAAGTCGAAGACTGACTGTATTTTGTTTATATTTAATGCTTTGTTAATTCTATTACTGGTATACAGTAGTTTGTATGTACTTTTTCTGTGAGTTGGAACCAATTACCCAATATCCCATTGAAATAATAGATTCAGTTAATTAGATTTTCAGTTAACGACTGACTCTGTGGAACCAATTGTGCTCGTTAATCGAGGGACCACTGTATACACAAATTCAATGCAAAATTAAGGGTTAGGGGCAGGAGGTCCTGAAACTTCACCAAACAAAGCTTAAAAGATTTCTTTATTTACTAAATGCATGGTACACCATCGAAAAATAAACATAAGTGTACAAAAACAAAGAAAGTTTAACAAAATAGTACAGTAATAGTATATAATAAAAATTAAAAAGAATAATAAATCATAGTCATGCTGTTTCTACCTGACCCAGTGACTCTCAGAATTGGCAGTAATACTGGATGATGGTTCTGCATGTTAATCAGCAACTTAAGGATATTTTCCTATAGAATAAAAATGCTTTCTTACCTCATAAAAAGCTCCAGGATGGGAAGGTATACCTTAAGTTTTTCTTAATACACCTTGTACAATATTATTAAAAAAAAAAAAATAATAATAATAAAAAAGTAATAAAAAAAATCCGTGGATGAAACTACAGGTATTGTAATTCTGTATAAGATATAAATATTGGAGCTATTGCACCATAGCGCATGGCCGTGCAAATGTTCAAGACAGCATCCACACAATCACTTCTCACTACAGTATGTACTTAAATCTAGACTATAGATGATAAAAAGCATTGCAATTACCAGGAAACAATATCATAATCAAGCTTTGTTCGATAATCTATTGTTTTATTACTTACTATAGGCTAATCATTACATCACTGACTGGCAATATATAGGAAACCAGTAGTAAATTAGGGAGCCATGAAATAAACAAATCAAAATAAAAAGTTGCACAATAACCAGAGGCTACTGTACTCTGATTTATTCTCATAAGTTTAATTATACCCGTACTTATCTTATACGTAATGAAAATTTTTGATGGCATTGGAAAAATTAGTATAGACATTTTTAAGGGAGAGTGACTCAGTGATTGAGAGAGGTGTAACTGTTGGCCCTGACCCTGAGAGTGTTAAGAAATGATTAGTGCTAGGTACAATAAGAGTCATAGCTGTAGTGTACAATACGAATGGGATGAAAATAAGCAAGTTGATTTAAAGAAAAGGAAGAAGACCTGGGCCTGGTAGATGAAAACAAATTGCCGTTCGAGAAACATCTACATGCAGAAGCAAACAATATGAACCACTTGACAGACCTAATCCAGTTAACATTCCTGTTGCACTGGGCTAGAAATCTCCTGCAACGGCTGTACAAATTCATGGATACTTAAAACTGGATATTGTACCATGGTTGGTAAACTTGTGGTTGGTGTGGGATTACTGTACTGGAGTGTACTCAGTTTAGATGTTTTGCACAATTTGTGTAAACAGATGGATGGACAACACCAAGACTTCAACCCCCTGAACTGTTCTGGTCCGGAGATAAAATAGTTAAGAGGAAAAGAGAGCAGTGGGCAGGTGAGTGAGAGATGGGTTAAAACAGTGAGCATAATCTAAAATAAAAATAGTTACTTTACAGTACTTACTTGATGCCTAAGCACGTACAACAGTTGGTATTGTGTATGGAAGCATAATGACTCAGCATCGACACTTGCGACGTAAACTTATCCTTCCATTTGTTGTATTCAGAGGTTATCAAACCCAGCATTGTATCTGAATCTGCCGTGTTGTTGCACTCTCGTCGGGATTCTAATCTGCAATTGGAAATTAATTCACTACTGAACACATGTTCTCCACTAAATACTGTACCTCACTCATAAGTTATACCTTTATTACAATACAGTATTCTACAACCACCTTGTAGTTTTTCTATTTAAAATTCTGTGAAAAATTTTTGGTGAGAATCAATCAAAGGTGAAAGTCTAACTATAAAACCAAGTTTATGTTTCATAAAACTGTACTGTACTGCACTGTAAATTATACCTATTTAAAAAAATAAATAAAACTACAGTACTGTATACTGTATATACTACGGTAATAAAATTAAAATTTGCCATCTTTTACTCATGGAAAAATCATGTATACTGTACGTACTGTTTTAATGTTGTGTAAAAGGTAAGAAATTAGTTATAATAAATCATGAAAATGGCTGTTTGACATACGCTGAAGAACAAAAGAATATAAAATCTTTTAGGTTGAAATGTATAGCAATTACAAATGATCAAGACTTGATAATTGATTACTTGTGAAGCTACACAAAAAATTATGAAATATTTTAATTTATGAAATATATAGTAATTTTAAAGATAAACATTATACTGTATGAGCTGGGGATGTCTAAGGAAATTATTTTTATACTGTACAGAAAAGCTTAAGATAAAAAAAAATTAGGATGGCAAGATAAAAGAATGCACAAATAACAAACATCACTGAAAGAGGAATGTAAAATATATATCAACCACAGTTTGGTTTAGAAGCTTTGAATGTTCTTCAGTATAAATAAAAACATCTGAACATAACAGTACTGTACCTAAAGCTATACGTTTACATGCGAGTCATTAAGTGTCTTGTTCTCATGAAAGTAAGAAGGATAACTGGTGATCTTACATGGACTGAGGAGTAATGAAATAAATAAGGGTTATGTGGTCATTCACATGGGCTGAGGCAAACATGGGAATAATAAAGAATGACTAAAATATCCTCCTCTCTTCAGAACTATATGGACCTTCATTAATCTATACTTTTTAGCTTACAGTTAACATATATATAAAGCACCCAAAATTTTTGTACTTTTCTTCATTATTGTACAGTTAAAACCAATTAATAAAAAAGTATGGTAGTGAAAGTGCATACTTCTGTACTTTTTTCTCTTACATAAAAAAAAATAAATATAATGAAACTTACTTACCTTGAAGACTGACTAATCTGGCTACATAAATTTCATATACAGTATAGTCTGCATTTATGCAGAATGGATAGAATGAAAATGCTTTAATTACGCGGTAAAGTTGGTCATTTACGCTGCGAGCGACTGGAGAGGTCCAGATCGCCGCGCCATTTTTAACCCACGCGGTCCATTCTTGACCATACGCGGGAAGCGGCGCGGTGAGTGGTGCGCATTAGGCCACTCTTACGTTATCGCTGACGTCATATGACGTATCGGACTGTGATTGGGCCACGCATCCTTACCACCCCAGCATTACCTCCGCCGCTAGCTGTGATTGGTCTAATGTAACATGACGTGCCCTGCCACCAGAGGGTAGAAGTCACTGACCTAGCAGGGCCTGTCTCATTGTTCTCAGTCAGCGTATAGCGTATACAGTTCTCTCTTGTGCCCGCTATTCCCCTCACAACTCACAAAGGCTTCCGCGGGACCCCCACCACCAGAAAAAAACATTGAATTACCTGGTCCAAGCCATGATAATGTGAAGGAAATCATCGAGTTGGGGGAGAAACTTAAGCTCATCCTTGACAATGACCCAGACAAGCATCGGCATGAAGCGTCTAATAACCATCTGACGAAAGTTATGGAGCCGTATATCCAGATCTATCTCGACAACATCAATGCTTGTTGTCAACGTAGTATTGAGGACTTCCTCACCCGCAACCCACCACAACCACAGCCAGCCCAAGTCAGTGATAATGATATTGACAGTGAGGATATGGAATTTGAGGGGTTTGTCTGGGAGGCCCTGCAAGCCTCTGCGAGTAGTGAAAGTGAAAGTGATTCACCGGAGGGCAACTAATCTGCCCTCTGCCTCGGAATCAGCTGCCATCCATGTGTGCCAACCCAGCTTTTCTACTAACGTAAGTGTTAAAAAACCTAATATTATTGATATTTCTCTTAATTATTTTTTGTGTGTGCATACCATCATAAAATTAAGATGTTATTTTTACTACAACGTACGTATTGTGTCGGAAAAAGTGGAGTTTGGGGGGTCGGCCCAGTCTCTATCTCAATTAATCCCATATGTTCTGTTATTTCATTTACGCGTTTCTCATTTTACGCAGACCTCCACGGGTTCAATTGACTACGTAAATGCAGACTATACTGTACAGTACATAGAGCAAAAAAAAAATCTTCCCATTTTTTCTGATGATCTTTTAAAGTTGGCAAAACATAATCAAAGATCTACCACAACTACATATGAATAGTTGGTATGCCCGATTGGGTAGCATCAGTCATCTGAGATAAGATGCCTTCTCTACACAGAACACGAAGCATATTAAGGTTTGAAACATCCCAAAGTGGTTAAATGGGGTAAATGATATACGTACAGTACAATAATTCACATCATGATAAATGGACAATAGGGTTACCTGGAAACTCAGGATCAGTGCTCTCTAGTCCGCGCCAACTGTTCAAAAGTTTCTCAGAGAACATTTCAGAATGCTCAAGTACTGTATTCCATGGTACATTCATCCAAAATTGGGAAGCTAGTTTTGTCACTCACCGTTCCTATTTTATGTTATTTTAATGTACAATCAACAAACAAAAAACTGACACTTTGACCCTTCACATTAAGACAAGGGGAAAGGACATCAAAGGGTTCTAAAAAAGAAGAAGGTGTTGTGGAGAGAACTAAATAGGATGAGAAAACCCAAAGAACAAATGGAAATAGCATTACATAAAAGAGGGGATATATTTCAGAAAACAGAGCAAGTACTGTATTATACAAGAGAAATGTAAAGAATAATTTGAATAACTGCTAAATCTAACAGATATGAGAGGTGGAATTATCCTGCCTATGACATAGTGGATAGATTATTGTCAAAGAAAAAAGGATAAAGTAATACTGAGGTGATGAAAAAGGCTGTAAGCAAGCTCAAGAATGGGAAGGCACCAGGAATATACAGAATCGTCAATGAAATGTGAAGGATGGGAGATGGAATCATGAAAGAATTGATTTGGATAACACTAAGTACAGTATAATGTACAAGCTGTGTATAACAAAAAGAAGGGTATCAAAGGAATGGCAGAGAGCATGTATATAAGAGGAAATGTGATCAGAACATATAACAATTCTAAAAAAAAAATATATGGAGTATTCCAGGGAATGTAAACAGTTTGAGTTATGAGTGAGAGAATTACAGTAAAAAACAGGATCAGGGATAGTGCATTTGGAGAAGAGCAGTGTGGATTCTGAAAAGAAGGAAGTATTGATCAAATTTTCACAGCAAAAAACATGAGTGAAAAGTAGCATTTGTGGGTTTAAAGAAGTATGTAATGCAGTACAGTAGAAAATAATGTGGAAATTTTAACAAAGTACGGGGTGAATGGGAAAGTTCCTGAATTCTATATCCAGAATTTTCATAATGTGTGAAGCATGTGACAAATTTGTCAGGAAGAGAAACTGGTTCCTAATGAAAGTAGGACTATGTTCATGGGTGTGTAATATCACCATGGTAGTTTAATATTTTCACTGGTGGGACAGTAAGAGTAGTGACTGAAAGAGTAAAAAGGTTAGGTGCTCTAGTGGATAACTCAGAAGTTACAAATGTTAGTGAATGAGTTTGGAAGTGTGTGTGAACTAGGAGAAAACTGATGGTGAATGTGAATAAAAACGAGTTTCAGATAAGTAGGAGTGAATATGTTAGTCAATGGAATGATGAGTGATGACATGAACCACAAAGGAGTACAAGAAAAGAAAGGAATTGATTGACTGGAGAATATTTGGAGAAAGAGAATTGCATCAAAGATAGACAAGATGGGGATGTACTGAAGAACTGCTGAACCAAAGCATTGTATGGATGCCAGACATAGACTATAAATGCAAAAGGGTAGAACAAATTAGAAGTGATGGAAATGATGCACTTAAGGACAATATATGAGGTCAACAGGATGCAGAGAATAAGACATACAGAAATAAGAATGCAGTGTGGAATTGAAAAAGTGGTGGACAGAACATATCAGTTTGTTCAGGTGATATAATTCAAAGGAAGATGATGGGAAGAAGATGGGAAGGCCAAGGATACAGAAGGATAGCAGGGGCGGATCCAGGAATATCAAAAGGGGGAGGGGTCCAAGAAGTTGTGGGTGGGGGAACATGGCGAGCGCGTAGTGAGCCCACCCAGCTGGGGGTTTTGGGGGGTCCTGTAAGCCCCCCTCCCCAGAATTTTTTTTTTAAATCTGACCAATAGCATGAGCATTTTGAGGCTATTTTGAAGCCATGCACATTTGATACTAAGGGATATTTCTGAAGTCAATAGTAAATAGTTTTTACTTTACAAAAAATGCCTGAGTACAATACTGTACTGCATTAAAGAAAAAGTACTGGAATATTCTGGTGAAAAGGGGGGTCTGGACCCCCAACCCCCCCTTTGGATTGAGGAAAGGATGAGAGTGGGTGAGGTACATTACATACAGTACAGCACACTGAGAATTAGAGAACTGACCTGACCTATTGCATTTAGTCAAGTCACCAAAATATTTCTGACTCCTAGAAACTGATCCAGTAGGTAAGTGATGGGAAACCCACTTGCCAACACCATTTAGTGCTTATAAGGTTAGATTGTGCAAATTCACAGTAAAATATAGCAATAAAAAAAATTAAGTTCAGCAACAAGCAGTTTATGCCATTGGGATTATAGAAAGTCCATAGAAATTGTACATCTAAATTAAATTATTAAAATATAAAAATGTGAACTCCTGAAATATACTTTTGAACTAAATAAAGATCTAAATCCAGTGTATCAGTACTGCAATGCAGTATAATAACAAACAGTAAAATTACATACAAGTACTATACTGTAT